ATAACTAAATTTGTCCCTTTTTCAAGTATAATAGAAGCCCCATTAATATATATATTCAGCCTCGCTTCCATAGATCTATGGAAGCCTCCGCCGAAAAGTACTCACAATAATTGAACTAATCCAGTAAAAGATCAGGATCTCCTAGAAATAGTTCAGAAATAATAGAATCCAATCTTTGGGCCAACCCGCCAAATCGTTCGGGTCAATTAGAAAACCATCAGTTTTGTGGCAGTGTTATTTAATTCTACCACTTTTGTTGAAAAGTTTGAAAGAAATCACTTTCAATGAATAAAAATATAATTTTTATCCCAAACAATAAGATATAATTAATCACTTATTAACGGGTGTTAATCAATTAATAACTAACAACTGAAGTTAATTAGTAATTAACTGGAAGGTACCATATTTGGTTAATCATCGATATAAATGAAGAGTAGTATAGACTTTATACCACTTGAAAGTGATATGAGCCAATGGAAATGAAATAAAATGGTAAAAACAAACAACCATCTCTTAAATGGTATATAGTCAAATTAACTGAAATGCTTCGAGTACTTGCATATGTATGGTGCCAATAATTTGTATATGAGATGTTGGAGTAAAATTTCATCCAACACCAAATCAACGATCTTAGACTAACGATTCGGATGAAACGAATAAATAATCTAAGAAAATTGGATAAACATTCAAAGAAAACAAACAACCTCGAAAAAAGAAACAAAAACAAAATATCAGAATCTCAAGGCTCTGTATTAGAAATTTGAGTCGCTTTTTCTCTCAAAACGGAGAATTGATAGTACATTGAGAATATGGAGTTTAATTCTCTCATAAATTCGAGAGTTTATTCTCTTTTTAATTACGATGCAAAACTCTTCACCTGTTGAGTGTTACAACTGATAAATAATCGATATAGATTTATTATTGATCATTAAATGCATTTAATTGTTGCTATTTGATGTTGCCTTGTGACACTTGAGCTTCTACTTTAGTCCGAGTATTAATGTTTAGACACTCGGATGTTCAGACACTCAGATGTTCAGATGCTCGAATACTCGGACATTTAGATACTCAGATGCTCAGAGTGCTTCAACGCCTGACCATTAGTGTTTGAACTTTACATAAACTGCGTGGCATAATGCCAGCAATAAATATATTATTTCAAAAATCCCATCCAACGTGAGACATGTTGGGGTTCTTGTTATATGTAAGAGTCTTCAATTATATTCGCTTTGTCAAGGCTGTGATTCTGTACCCGTCAACAGAAGACTACAAATTAAAATTATTGCCGAGATTGTTAGAATATGAATATCACCAAATTGACTTGTTTATTGACCAAATAGCTTGTTACCAACTTCAATAATAGCCATGCAAATGCAATGATAATTTTGAAAACGTAGTAAACGTTTGCTCGAGATATCGTGGAAATCTCACGTTTTCCTTACGTGAAAAGGAAAGGAAAAAATAAATTAAATTGATAAAATAAGAATATTAAAAAAATGAAAAGAGGAGTTATTACCTTTCTCATCATGTGTTTAATTTGAGTAGAAAAACCACCCTTCAATGCAGTACAATTTTTGTTATACTCCGTCAAATTTGGGATAGCATATATCAACTTTTGACTTTTCATAGCATGATACAACTTCTTTATTTAATTAATTAGTACAAAATGGCCATTTTCTTAAATTATTTAAAAAGGAAAATTTTATTATTTTAAGTTCCAAAACTTAATAATTGACAAAAGATAGATAGAGTATAAGAGAATAGAATATCAAATTAATATGCTATTTTCACACTTTTTGATGTCAATATATATGTATATATGTATACATGGTAAATATACATGGACATTTGCATTGGAAATAATCTAAATTTCATAAATATATATTTATATATGTGTGTGATGAAGTGGAATAATTGGTCTTATTACACAATCTAATAAATAAGTAAAGATGATCCTCATTCAGATTCCTTTATTTATCTTTCCAATTTTATTACATTTTCTTTTAAATTCCTATTATCTTTTTGAAAATACATGCATGAACATAATACGTATTTGAATGACCATAATTTATTTATTTATTTATTTATTTTGTTGAGTAAAAAGTTTTACTAAAAGGGTAACAAGCGAAACTAAAACATGATGGCCACAGAAATCCTCAAGAGTAAAAGAACCCGTAGACCCCAAAACAAGGGTCCATTTGGCTAATCTATCCGCAAGCTATTCTCAGTTCTAGGAATCCAAACGAAAAAAAGGTGATTACACATAATTTATTTACTTTTACTTGTACATATAATATATACCAACCGTGTGTATATATCGTACGTGTTTTCAGCACAGCAAAACACCACTTCATTGTCGTAGTGGGGTGATGAACTTAGTACAATTGCACTAGTACACAATAATACATTTCACAATTAATGGTAGAAGGAGTCTCCATATGAAGTTATTATTACGAAAGACTTGGCAACAAACTTTGCATATTATCATACACGCAACTATGAACTGCCTCAAAACAAATTACCCTCTCAATCTCATTGAATGAAGATCTAAGTATATTATTTTGCAAGAAATAGAAAATCTTGTAAATTTTGAGTATGCGACTAACCATATTTATATATACTCCATAAAATTGGTGATAAAATCAGCCTTATCCACAAGCAAATTCTTCTTGCCAAACTTTCCAACCCAACAAGCTATATATTATTGTCCATTTATTAGTGCTATAAATGAGAACAACTGTCCAACTCTTTTTCTTCTTTAATTCAACAAACTTCTTTATCCACTTATTTCATTTCTAAACAGTCTATATGTACGTATTTATTGTGAAAAGAGAGGCCCTTTAGTTTGTAGTCACATAATAAGCAAGACTAAACTTGGTATTTGTCAAGATTACAAGAAAGAATCAAAACATAACTTTAACAAATTTAATTAAACTTCATTCAGGTCCATTTCTTAGAGTAAAAACATAATCTTTGGAGCTGCATTTTTTGTTCTTTATTATTAATTCAATATTCAGGTTGAAATTTAGCGCTCCATTAGCTCATGTTTGTATATTTATACTGTGTAGATGTTTTGACAGATCTCCACGTTATAATATCTGCGGGTATGAGACGTACCAAAAACTAAAAATCCTGGTTAACAATTTTACACGTTGTTCATGAAAATTTGATGGTGATTTTTATTTTTTTGTTTTGCTCATCGAATTTGATGGTGATTTAATAATCAACACACGCCTTTTAGTACACACGTTACGAAAATCCACATGTTTGGAAAATATCATTCTAGTTAACACTTAATTGGGGGGGATCATGAGGTTCAAGACTTTAGTAGTTTGTTTATACCGACATGTCCACAAAATTCATCTACATTTCCCAAGGCTCAAACTCATTTTTTAATACAAGCTAGGCTAGTACCAGTAAGCCGAGTTCCTTTAGCATTTTGTATTAAAACACCGCATTTAATTTATTTTATGTAAAAGGGGCAAAAATGACTATTATGTTTCAAAAAGGAAACTCATTAACAAAATAATGGAGTTGCTAACCTAAGAAAATGGAGACAAAACAAACTTGAGCAGAATGTGAGATGTCGCAGAGACATATCGTGTCAATACATGTACTGACAATGTAACTGGTAATGCGGTGACTGTTAATTCATATATGTTACATATAACATGTATCAAATTGATCTTTCTCAGCATTACAAGCCGGCATTCAGCAAAGAATATGTGCATACTTGATATGTCATAAGAAAAAGAGAGAGAGAAATACAAAATCGTGCAAAACATTTCTGATAGTTCACAGGGTTGTCCTGTCAATACTACAGTATGCGATAATTCATTTTAATACGAGATCGGCCTCGCAGAGGTGAGATTCGTCGTCGCCGTCGTCGCTGTTGGTGACGGAGAAATTGGACGTGAAGGGAGACGAAAGAGCGAAGAGACAGTGATCTCTCGATCGTCATCGATAAGTTCATCGTCGATCGTCGAATCTCCCCGTCGCCAACATCACCGGAGATCCGACGTGTCTCCCTCTCGGCATTTGATGTCCCACAGTTAAAGAAAACAATGTGGTCCTCCATTTTTACCGGTAGAAGAGTGGAGATTTTGGATGGCGGTAATTTGGACTTAATGATTAAGAGAAGTAACACAAATCAAATGATGGGAAATTCAATAGTAAAACGCAATAATCATCCTAAGAGAGTTGTATACTAACTAATTATCTCATATTTTTAAGAGATAATTATACTACATCACAAAATTTCAAATTTGAGTTGAAATTTTGCAAGGTTTTCATAATATTATAAATATACCAAAAATGATAGACATTATCCTGTTATTATTATTTTTTACTATATAATGATATACCCCTTAAATGGAATCTCCTTTTATTTTCATCCCTTAAGATGAGCTCACATATTTCTACTTTTTAGACTAAAATTAATAAATGGATATAATTTTTTAAAAATGTTATTTTTAATTAATTAATGGATATAATTTTTTAAAAATGTTATTTTTAGTAAGTTAGGTATTTAAGGAGGTAAAATTTATAATTTGTTCTTATACCTTTTTGGGTTGTGCGGCCCAAACTGAGAGCATTGAGATGACTCCACTAACGTCCGATATAGCAGCTCATATTTTACCCATAAAAACTGAGACTAATACATAACAAGCTAGGTTGTCAGCATTATTCATCCACGTGACAAATCAATGGGATAGAAAAAGGAAATTCATAACAAAGGAATCGCCCTTGTAAAGGATCGCTGCTTTCTCAAAACTCCCCTGATTTATCATTGGTAGAGTATCAAGATAACCAGAAGTCCACGACTCTACGAGGCAAATATTAAGAATACTTGGTTTGGTACTTTGGTTAATGGAGAACTCAAATGCTAATGATAAATACGATGAGAGTGCAGTGATAAAAGACAACCTAGCTCTAAATCTAATAAAAGAAGAAAGAGAGAGAGACAAAGAGAGGAGCCATTTATAAAATTAACCCTTTAATTTAATTCAAATTGGCAGACTCAAGCGACATAGTTTGGTAAGACATACAATGTCGTATGTAGTCCCCTTTGAGTACAAACCATTCCTTTTTTTTACAAGGTCATCAAGCATTGAAACAGTACAGCAAAAAGAAGACAGCGGGACTTACAATATCGTCTTTAATTAAGACCGGAAAGTTTGTAATCAGTAACAAGTACAAATGAATAACATAAAACAAGGACAAAAATTAAGAGAGCTATAAAAATAATCTTAAATATTAAGCCACGGAAATGGCAATCGCAGATCATTCTACTGTTGAGCACACTGAACACGCGGCATGGATGACTCGTCATCATCTTCGTCGTATGCCTCCTGGTACTGCTGTTGCTGCTTCCTCCTCATCTCCTCCTCAATATTGACGTCGTGCAAGGTGGTCTCCTCGCAATCGTCCACTTCCATGTCGGTTAAACACTTACTTGGCCTGGGAGGAAGTATCTTCTCCAAAGTTCGGCATTGGTCCGGAGATAGAACACCTGCGTCTGGGAATACCACATTGAAATGGATGTATAGTCGGCCCTTCATGAAAGGCCGCTGGTGATGAGGCATCCCCTCATCGTTGATTGCTTTGTATTGATCTGCAATGCATTAGACAGAGAATTAGATGAACAACAGGAAGAAACTAAGAAACTTTATGCAAGGACAACTTCACACGATGTATATGCCTCTTTAATCGTTAACATACCAGGCTTGATGATTTCTCCAGGATTTGATTTAATGAGGAGCTGCCTTCCATCAAGATGATTTAGGGCAAATTGAAAACCACAAAGAGCCTCAGTTAAGCTGAGAGTGTGTTCTACATAAAGATCATCATACTTCCTCTTAAACCTAGGATGCTCCTTCAGTTGCAAGATAAAAACGATATCTCCTGTGATAGTATCGGGCTGCAAATCCAAGGAGTGACGTATACAACGATATCAGTCAAGCGAAATCCTTAAAAGGAATGTATGAATGCTACTACAAGAAGCTAGGATCCAAACCACAGAATCATCGCAAATGCAGAAATCTATATTCACTTACGGCTTCATCCGCTTGCCCCTCAAACACAATCTTCTGGTTATTCTGCATCCCTTTCTCCACATGCACCTCCAGTACCTTCTTTTCCTGGGTAACCTTGTTTCCTTTACACTGTGTGCATCTATCCCTCTCGCTGATGATTTCACCTGTGATAATAAAAGTTCAGCTTCAAGAAAAGGTACTGAGAACAACGAAAGCTAGTATAAGAGCCTCTCTCGGTGAAATACCAGAGCCTGCACATTCTGGACAGACATGTTGCATCCGCTGGATCATGCCCAGACCAATCTGACGTGATGTAACCTTCACTCCAGTACCATGACATCCATAACATTTTCCAGCTGTTCCACTCTTACAACCTTTCCTGAAATATTATTGGATTTCACAATCAAATCTACTTTCACATTTACTTTTCTTGCAACAAGCAGCATGTATTCTTTCTATTTCAATAAGCCAACTTGATCGTCCATCTGATATACAATAATATAATTGAACAACAATGTATTGGTGGCCACCGTGGAGGATTCTTGGAAAATACTATGCACCCAGACAGTGAATATTACTATGTTGTATTATAGTTTTTTGAGGATTTTGGAAAATCCAAAGCATGTGCAACATTGATAACCAATCATGACCCTTATTTAATATTTTTGAATAAGTGGACTTTAAAATTTTAACGGAATCAACCCCAAATGAAAAGACAGAAACCAAATACTTTCCTATTTTCTTTTCAAACATCTCCCTTGAACTTGATATGTGCAAATTGCATGATAGAATGAGGAAGCCAACATACCCTTTACATTTTGGGCACAAAATGTTCCTTGACAAAGAGAGCTTCTTTGTTGTACCATTGTACAAGTCCTCCAAAGAAACCTTTAAGGTATGAACCACATCTTCACCTTGTTTCTTTCTTCTTCCTCGCGAGCTAGGACCACCTGTAGGATTAACAATTGTGTTACAACAGAATATTTCAGGGGAGAATATGAGAAAGAGAGGTAAACCAATAGAAAAGGCCAAAGATACAAAAGCAGATTTGAACTATGTCTCACCACCAAAGCCACCTCCAAAAAATGATTCGAAAATATCAAACGGACTGTGTGAAGGGCCGCCTCCTCCCATTCCTTCTTTTAGAGCATCTTCACCATACTGGTCATAGATTTCTCTTTTCTCCGGATCATTGAGAACTTCATAAGCTTGAGCTAGCTCCTTGAACTAATACAAGCCACGAGAATATGATAAGAACAATTGGATTGAGAATCTTCAAGAAAAAGATAAGTACAGGTATAACTTAAAAGAAATGGTCAGATCCCTTTTCTGAAAATTTTTTGTTCGAAACAAGGAGTCATATAATGCATAAAACAAGCACATAGCACAACACAAACTCCCATTTCCCCTTTCCCTAAAGTTTTATAAGACTCGTGAATTATGAGTCACATAATGCTCTGAAAGGAATGAGAGGTCCAAATGAGATACACTACATGTGTAGGACTTGGCCGTCTTAGATTTCTGTTATAGCCATCAACTGGCCATCTGGGTTTTCACAATATATTTCAAATTCACACAGAACGTTTTCTAGATCGAGAAGAACCGTAACAATAGTATCTTTGAATGCCAAAAATTTGCCAGGGATGCCACTAACACAAGGCGATCGTCATGGACCAACCTTTTCAGGGTCCCCTCCTTTGTCAGGATGATTCTTGATGGCGGCTTTCCTATATGCTTTCTTGAGCTCTTCTTGACTTGCACTTTTGGAAACACCAAGAACCTCATAATACTTGGTGTTATCACTACTCCTCCTCGGCATACGCCCAAACATGATTCCAGAACTTTGATACAGCTGCTACTGCAGTAGAGGACAAATTCTCACAGTTACATTATGTGTCAGATGCATATATCATAAAACGATAAAACATAACTGAAAAGCACATTATATTATTTGACTGGCAAAAAATCGACAGAAACATGCAAAGATATTAACTTTGAATACAGAATGACAAATTCCCTCGAATAAAAAATCCGATAATAAAATATCCGAAAATATCTTATACCTCATCAAACCCCCAACATCGATGGTCCATCAGAGCAAGCAAAGTGAACTAAAAAGAACGTAAATAAAGTGAAACCTAATAAGAAAATCCATAAACTTAAATTATCAAATCAATAAGGAAGCTAAATTCGAAAAAAAAAAAAACCCAAAAAAAAAAACACAAAAATTAAAATTAAAAAAAAAAAAGGAAGCCAAAATCCAAAAAAAAAAAAAACCCAAAAAAAAAAACACAAAAATTAAAATTAAAAAAAAAAAAGGAAGCCAAAATCCAAAAAAAAAAAAAACAAACAAAATTATGCGAAAAACAAAAGAACCCTAAAAAATCAGTAACTCTACCATAATCAAAGCTTCGATGAAGTCGGAATGAATTTCTCAATTTCACAAAGAAACAACAAAGATGATCAAACAAAACGAAAAAGAAAAGGACTTTTAACTCGAATTAACAAAACCGGAACTAATCGAGCATCAGCTAAATCAAAGATTTTTGAAAGACCGAGCAACAGACATAGTAAACAAGATCGAACGACGATCTTTAAAGAGATTACCTTTCGAGGTTTTCTAGAGAGAGAAAGCTTCGCACAGAGAGAGAGAGAGAAGAGGGGGGGGGAAAGGTTCTCACTTCTCTCAGGTCTCCTCGCTACGCGCCGAGAGTTTACCCTGTCGTTGACGATAATCTATTTCAATTTGTAACAAGAGAAAATTTGCTATTGCCAATAGAATTGATACGTCCACGGAGAGCTTTTGTTTCGTGGCCGTAGCCAAAGCGTCTTGGCGCCGTACAGCGTTTCCCTTGGGAAGAGGAAAAAGGTATCCGGATCACCTGTAGGTGACGGACATGGTGAAGGTGGGCCCTCGCGTCTGATTGGCCCACTCTGAGAAGACCGTCTTGTGATTAGATTTCATCGGTCAGAAAATTTGGAAAAAACGAATGAATGCCTATTAAAAAAGAGGCATTTTTTATAGTGAGATCAAAAAAAATTAATTTTTTAACAGTTAAATTTATAATAAAATCACTTTTGCGTGGCACTCATAAATTTATAAAATTTTAAAATACAGATCTGTAAAAATCTAATTATTAAAAAGTTAGTTAAAAGTGAATATTTTATTAGTGGTTTTTTTTTTATTTCACCCTAGAGGTTGTTTTAAAAAATGTTTAAACATTTTTCTTAGAGGAAATTATATGTTATGCCACTAAAATACAATATATTTATATTTATCTCATCTGATCTCTAATTATATTTGTTGATTTTGATATTTTATTATAATACTCTTCGAAAGTTAAAAATATCTATTTATCAGTGCAAATAACACTCTAATAAGGTAATAAAAATATCTTATCAAAATATTTTTTTGATAAATTAAGTAACATTAATGTTAAATTTACACTATTAGGTGACATAGATATGAAGATGGTATCTTAAATTAAAAATTTAAGAAGTAAGTTGACTTAAAATTAACTTTTTAAGAGGTGTTTATAAAAATATAAATAATGGTATATAATCATTTTGTTAGTTTTATAAAATATAAGATACACGTAATTTAAGTGGCGAAATGATCCCTTTCAAAATTTAAAGATGTTTATGAAATTAGGAAATGTCTTACATGAAATTAAGAAATGTCTTTATCCAAAAAGGAGATTCATTATTTACAATCTTTAGTTAAAATTAAAGCAGATGAACTACTCATTTAGTAGGTGTTTGGTTCATAGTGGTCTCGTTCACTTCACTAATTCGAGTTGAGATGTGACTTTATGTGAGAGTTTTTTATTGTAGTAAAAAAGTTAGATGTGATTGTTTGTGAGAGTTTTTTACTGTAAAAAAACTCGAATTATAAACTCAAATCAGCGAAGTGAACGGGGTCTCAGAATCATGATTCAGAATCATTCTTGTTTTACGAGTATTTTTTGTGAGAGAAAAATACTGTAGAAAAACAAACATAATTCAGTTAATGGACGAATATAAGAAATAAACATCTCCTTAGTGTCGATCAAATCAATCAAAACTAAAAAGAAACAAAGGGATGGTGTGTTATTGGAGGAGTAGAATTTTGTGGGGGAGGTTTGTGAGAAATCCAAGTGGTTGATATTAGTAATCCTACGGTAGTTCTGGTTTCGTGATATTTCCAACTTCCTAATCGGTTTTTGGCGTGGGATAGGCGGCGGGTGGGTGTTTTAGTTTGGTCGTACTCGACGGCTTTGGAAGCTACCCAAAACCAAAACGGTGCCTTCTTTTTTCGCTTTTTCCAATTTCTTTTTTATAATTTCTCTTTTTCGCTTTCGTCTTTCCAGGTGTCTGGCCCAACGGCGTTTTCCCGGATTTTGCATAATAACAACAAATAAAACTTTAGGTCCCACTTACCACGAAAAAGTAAAAACAAGCTTAGACATGAAGGAATAATCACTTCTCCAGCAAGGGACGATCAAAATTATGCTTTTGTTCTCGAACAGGGTTAAATTTCTATTTTCACTTTATATTTTTTATATTAACTCGACGAGTAAAATTTTAAGAGAATCAGATGAACTAAAGAGTTAAGATTTCGATCTATTTTTCAATTTTCCTAAATATATCTATCTATTTAGATCTCAATCTATAATAATTATATATTTGATCTATTGATTCAATTATTATTTTTTTATTTTTATGTTTTTTTTTTTCGTGGTCTCTTAACATAATTTAGATCTAAAATCAACACCAACAACATATTATTTATGATATCACACAGCAGAACCAACATTAGAGAGGTAAAGGGAGCATTTCTATTCTGATTAAAAAAAAAAACCCTTTCTATTTTGAAATCTTCTTAAACTTATTTTTTAAATTTTTACAAGATTATCAATAAATTAATAACTAATAAAAATATCTAACAACGTGGAAAGTCTTTGGAGATAGAAAGAAGGCAAAATAAGCACCCATTTCTTGTGTGCGTTGGCTTCACATAAATAGGAAAGAAAAAGTGGCAGAGATTAATGAAAAAAATGTGTGAAAGTAAAATAAAGGAATTTTTTTTATCATTATCGAAATTGACTTTGGCATTGGGCATGGGTAAAAGATATTCCTATGAAATAATTTCTACGAAATAACTTGAAATTTATGGGATATTTAGTTGAAGGATTCAAATCATAATTTGAATCATGATTCATAATTCGTTATAGTGTTTTCTCTCATAAAAAATACACGTAAATAAAAAATGATTCTAATCACATGATTCTAATCTATGAATCAAACGTCTCATAATCTATTAAAAATGACAAAATCTGATAAACTACATTGAGATATAATCGAAGCAGATAATTTGAAAAGTGAGGAAAAATAGAGACAACATACTTATAAATAACTAATAACTAATCGAAAAGGTTCTAATTAAAATATGAAAAAAAAAAATGTTTAAAAAACGGTTATGTTCTCTTTTGTTGCCTTATTTTTCAACGTTGATGCTAAGTCGGAGAGTGCCCTTGCGGAGAACCCATTTTTGCCTTGTGCCTTGGTAGCTAAATCACTAAGGAGACGATTGGTTCATTAATTTAGAATTATGATTCAGAATCATTCTCGTTTTACATATGTTTTTTATAAAAGAAAATATTGTAACGAGTCACGAACCATAATTCGAATCATGACATGAATTCTTCTTCTAAACATCCTTTAAAGCTTAGTTAATTTTACGAATTTAAGTTTTTAATTTAAATTAAAACATAACATTTTTAAAAAAATTTTAACTATAACAAAAAAAATTAAATATGATATTTTTTAAAACTTTTTACATGTAAAAATTTAAAATAAAAAACTCGAATTATTGAAATCAAGCCTAACAACCTTCGTACCTTCTTCACCAGTATCCTCCATTAGAGCCTTAAAAACTTGGGCAATTTCCTCTCGTCGAATGAAGCCATTTTGCTCAGCTTTTGGTCTCAAAGCCACTATAAGACTCTCAACAAGCAACACTGCATTCATCTTCCGCTCCGCGAAGAGTGGCCAAGCAATGAGCGGCACATCGTGAACAAGACTCAAGGGTTGAGCTCCAACCACAGTGACTCAAAAACCCACCTGTCGTGGGCTAGCACCCGAGTTTGTGGGGCCCAGTAGGGCACCGGGGCAAGAAATCAAGAGGATCCGATAGACCTTGTGGCCCATGGTCGGGATATGCGTTGTTGGGCCTCCTAACTACCCATATGAACCCTTGCTCACTTATGTCTAGCCCAAATGCCAACTCAGTCATTCGTTCATGCGAGAGGGTCCCACTACTTCCGAGGGAAACATATAGAACTGAGACACGTGGCTTGTTGTCCAGCCAAGTCAAACACTTCGAGTCCTCGTAGTTTTGATCTCTTGAACCGGTTTGTACAATAGGTCCCACCGGGTAAAGAGGCAATATCTGTTCTTGCAAGCCCTTTATCGCATCGGATTCAATATCCAAGAAGCTGTTAACAATAAACCCATTAATACCCTCAGCCGAAACCAAAAAGATCTCTATGATGTAAAGGAGGGTATCCTGGTAATTTCACTGGCTCTGGTAAGTCTCCCATGGAATCTGCTATCTCGTCCGGTTTCGGCAAGTGGAGGAAAAAGACAAAGCCATAGCATTTATAGGGAAGAAAATGTACTTGTAAATATCAAGCTCCTTGGCAATATCCTAAGCGCTAATGGAGACGTAGTAGTACTACTCGGTACCAGCGACGTCATCACTTGGTGAAAAGAAGGCAAAGAGCGATTAACAATAAACCCATTAATACCCTCAGCCGAAACCAAAAAGATATCTCTACGATGGAAAGGAGGGTATCCCGGTAATTTCACCGGCTCGCCACGGTGTCGCTGGGACGGTCGACCGGAGCGGCAAATATGGTTTGGGAAGGGATTCGAGGACGGATTTTGTGTCGTCCGAAGGAGGAGAGAATCAATGGAAATAATGCAAGTGGCATGGAAGCCATGGTAAAGAATGAGAGTCTGGCTAACTCTACGAACGGGATTAGATGCCATACGCTCGAGCCTGGGCGTGTTTTCTTCATTGGAAATGGCTTATTGGGTCTTTGATTTCATCAAGGTAATATATAAGTAAACACACACATATATGTCTATGTGGTAAATCCACTTGCGTGCTTGGACTTTCAGGTGTGTATTAGTTATTTATTTTTGAGTTTCATAAATTATGATGTTTGACTACTTTTGCTTAGAGTATTTGACTGGACTATAGCTACATTAGTTATGTATGTATAGCCAGCTATAAAAGTTCTATATCATATATATATATATATTTATACAAACTTGGTTGAGGAACGGATCGAGGAAGGATGCAATAATGCACGCTTGTGTGCTCTGGGCTAATTGAGTATTAGGTTATTATGGTTTAGTTTGGTAGTACTGTAGATTTTGAAAAAATTGTTTTTAGCTGTTCTGAAGGAAGAAGTAATTGTTACAAAAAGTAGTTGAGTGTTTAGTAAACTATAATTATAGTAGTTGTGCTGGCTTTAAAATCAATGTAATAACGTTTGGTAAATTATGAGGTTGAATTGTTGTAAATAGTTAAAAATTACGACTATATTATATTAAACTGTAATATTATATATATATATAATTACAATATAATATATATTCATTATT